TGGCCGACAGGAGCAGGGGTCAGCGTAGACCCGTTGGGCAGGCAGCGGCGAGGCAGCACGCTGACCTGCGCCCCGGTGTCGACTAGAAATTGCCGGTCCGTCTCCGTGTCCCTCACGAAGAGGAGTGGCGCGGCAGGAGGGGCGCCCGTGCTTTGCGCCATCAGCACGGGGCGCCTCAGTTTTCCGAGGCGATCCAGGAGCACGGCAACTTGCATCGGCGCGCTTGGGCGCCGAATCGCTGGTGGTACCAACACAGCGTGTCGTCGTGCGGCGGCGTTGAAGGACGAGCCGGTGACGGGCGGCGTGACTGGCGAGACGCCTGGCGCGGCCGGGAACGGCTGCGGTCGCGTCGCACGGCGTCCTCGAGTCGTCGGTTGCTGGCCTCCAGGCGCTCCATCTTAGCGACCAGGGAGGCGATGACGGTGTCCAGCGCAGGGGTTGCAGCTGGCGCTGGGGCTGTCACTGCAGCAGCGATGGGCGGTGCCGGCTGTGTGTACGGCTGTGCCGCGATCGCTGATAGCCGTGGGTCCGGTCCGCTAGCTTCCAGGTACCGGTCGGCCGCTTCTGCCAGTGCGTCAAGCGTGCTGTCGGCTGGCAGGAGGGCGAGGGCAGCACGGACGGGCTGCGGTAGCCGTTGTTGAAATAGGGTACGGAAGAGCTCCGTATCAACCGGGGCGTCCCCGGCTGCGGCTAGCTCGTTGCGCATTGAGCGCAACAGCGCCGTCGGCTTCTGATCGCCGAGCTGTTGGCGGCCGAGCAGGGCTTGTAGTCGGTCGGCGCGTGACTGTGCCAGGCGGGCTTGGAGCGCCGCACACAGCACGTCAAAAGACCGAGATGACCGAATGACGTCCTTGACCTGGACGGCGATGTTGGCGGGGAGGTTTGCGACGAGGAGCTTAAACCTCAGCTCGTCGGAGTCGACCCCGCTGACGTCGAAAGCGCACTGCACCTGCAGTAGCCACAGGTCGGGCTCTTCCGGAGAGTATGGTGGTAGCCGGAAGCTAGCCATGGGCCGATGAGTTGACTCGGAGGCTGAAGCTGGAACGCTGGCTGGGTCTTGAGCTGCGGCGCCGGACTGTGCGCTGTCCGCCGGCATGACGAGAGGCTAAGGTCGAACAACGGAGATCACGTCGGGGTCACCAATTGTCGTACTGCGCTGTGGGTAGCGCTTGGCTGGACGGACGGTCTGTGACAACCTATTGATCTGTGGCTGATCTATTAGAGTGTCCGTCCGAGAGCCGTACGACGGCTGACAGAGCCTGGGGGTCGCGAACTGGTGTGGTAACCGTTACGCCCACCTGGGACGCCCGAGTCGGTACGGCACTTGCGGTGTCGTAACCGGATCGGCGGGAACCAGCAGAACGCTGTTGGACCGGCGGTGAAAGTCGGAACCGAGCACTCGCCCACCAGTGGGGCGTCTGGTCGAGCAGGTCTACCCGCTAAGGCAGCCTGAGCACGAACCAGTGGCAGGGTCCGATCAATGACCGTGGTCCGACCAGGGTGTCAGCGCAATGGCCAGTCAGAGGCGTCTTTAAGGGCGCGGAAGCCCACCTCGGTCGACTGTGGCCGGTGCAACCTAGTCAGGTCGTTTGTGTGAATCTCCGTGTTCTTCCCTCGCCTCAGAGTAGCCGCTCTTCTCCAAATGCCCGAGCCGTTTTCTATGTGTATTGGTCTTGAGGCGAACAGCAGAGTCGAAAAACGAATTGACAACGTCGCCGAAAGCCGCGGTCATATGCTGGCCGTCCCTAGTACTACCAATATGCCCGCAGGCGCGGCGAGAGACAAGCTCAACGTATGAGTCACCGTCCGGCTGCCGGGAGAGCCCCTACCGCGACCTTTGTCCACAGTCATGACGTCACGACAATGGGCTCCTAAACGTACGGGCAGCGGCCGCCTCAGGGGTGCCGCCGTGACCTTTGCACGACACGTTCTATAGCGTATGGCACAGCGGTTACTAGGAAGGTTGAGGCCAGCGGCAAACAAACTTGACGCGCAATTGACAACAGGTAACAGATTGATTAATAAAGCGGCGACAATATAAATGAAAATGACAACATGAAATGACAAATCGCATAGATGATCCCTACAACTAAACGGATATCTGTCTTAAAATGCTTGGCCGGAAGAAGCTGTGGGGCGGACCGGAGTGTATTGATACGCATGTATAAATCCATGATACGACCTATTCTTGATTATGCCTGCCAGATTCTAGATGGACCTCAGAACAAGGTGGTAGAATCACTTGACTCCATACAAAATCAGTGCCTTAGGATAGCAACCGGAGCTCTCCGTACATCACCGATCTTACCACTGCTGGTTGAGACTGATGTTCTTCCGCTGAGACTTCGGCGATGCGAACTAACTCTGAGATTTTGTCTTAAAGTTAAAAGCCGAGATACTCACCCGTGTAGACATCTTATATTGAGACATGCAGCTTTGCACCACGTGGAGGCGGCATATATGAAACGAATATCGGGATTTCCATTGTATGAACGTATGCTCCAGATGGTAGACGAAAGTGGATATGTATTTACTGCTGCAATTGCACTGAGAGAGAGCCATATACCGCCTTGGCGTTTACAGAGATGCGAGATACTAAGACTTACTGATGAACGTAAAAGTTGCCTCGACAATCTAAAAGTCCAGTGTGATTTCCATGAATTCAGACATTCTTATGCTGACTATGCCTTCATTTTTACTGATGGTGCAAAGGGCCCAAATGGTGTAGGATGTGCTTATATTCATGGTGATCGCTATGGGAAGTACCGACTGCCTGTACAGTGTTCCATCTTCACAGCAGAGGCGACTGCCATTCTAAAAGCACTGTGCTACATTGAAACTGAGCGTGACAAGAAATGGGTGATTTGTACTGACTCCTTGTCCGTGACGATGGCCATTGGAAACCCTCCCTCAGCTAACCCTGTTATTACCGAGATTTTGGACCATGTCCACACTCTTGATACTGGTTTCTCGATTATCCTGTTATGGATACCTGGTCACACTGGTATAACAGGAAACGAGACGGCTGATATACAGGCGAAGGTAGCCATGAGCCTGAATGATATAACTACACCACTGCTTGGGATGCGAGAGTTTTATCCTGCAATCCGCTCTACGATCAGAGATATGTTTGGTCGGTTCTGGGCTGATCACCCTGCTGGCACTACTCTGAAAGCTATCAAGGAGCGTGTGGAACACTGGTCTAGCAGTAGCCGACCCAGTAGAAGAGAAGAGGTTACATTATGTCGTCTGAGACTGGGCCATACTCGGTACACCCATTCTTATATCATTGATCGAGAGCCTAGACCACTGTGTGAAAGATGTCGCTGCCTGCTTTCTGTACAGCACTTTCTCATCGATTGTCCAATGTACGCCATCGAGAGACAACCATTGCAGCAACTGTGTCAGAGACATGCGGTTCAGCTGTGTCTGAAATCGCTGCTATGTGACGACTTTCCTGAGATATTGAACGAAGTGATGATCTTCTTGCGAGCGTGTGATCTTATGAAACGCCTGTAAACAGTGAATTAAGAAACAATAGAACCAGACCAAGGCCCGAGCCAGACTACGTGCGACTCACGTGCGATAGCGTATGTATACCCGACGCGTGTTTCTTTTTTTCTTTTCTTTTTTAATGCTGGAGTCAAAAGCCTGTGTGCATGGTAGTGCCTCTATTTACATGTAACACGCTAGATGTAATATGAATGTTCTATGTCCTTTGTTTTGCATCTGTCTCCGTGTGCTATGTCCCACCAGTACTGTGGTCTGTGTTATGTGGAAGTGGTGCGTGGAAGTATGACTGATCGTGAATGAATGTACACTTCTTGACTGACAGGACAATCGACGGTGGTGGCACTTAAGACAGTATCGAGCGTAGTTGATCACGTAGTTTAGAAACTAATTAGTTTGGACGAACCTAACCAGCTGGTCTCTCTATCCATGGATCCACGCAGCGCGCTTAGGGAAACACTACGGCCAAAGCATTCCTACGTACACGGCCTGAACAACTGGTCTGCGACCACAGTGTATCGATACATGTTATGATGGTTATGGTGATGAACGACATCCTCCTACTCTAACGAGGAGACAAGCGTACCTATTGTTACCAGAGTGTTTATCAATGGCAAATTAATGTATATGGAGTGTTATTTTGACTGTTGAAAAAAGCCAGGCATAAAAGATACCGGTCGTTTATGTTACTTTCATTTTCAGTTCTTTATCTCTAAGTTCATAACCATTTTATAGTTCGCTACTAACATTAACTACTGTCCTACCTGGAAATATTCCTCAATACTATATCCTGGTTCTATCCGGTACGCTGTTGTCTTTCCGTTCCACTACCACGCTTAGTACTCCATTGTCTTACCTACCAACTCTGAAGACATGAAAGTGGCAACAAGACATCTACGGACGCTCTGAGCCCGATGAGGCTATGCGCCCTAACCCACGACCAAGACCAAGACCAAGGCATTACACGAAGGGAAAGTATTTTATTTGCTTTGAACATTTTGAGACCCATGGTGTAGTTCACACATTTGACTGAATACTTTTTTCAAATCATATAAGAGCAAGTAGAAATTATACCTTTTCAGGACGCTTAACATTCTCCAGAAAATCATATATTTGGCAACTTACCCTATTTGATACGGCATTGAATCGCAAGTGACAAGTCCGGCACACAGATTGGAAGAGAGTGGACCAGCGGACGGCAATATTCCTTCAAAGGACTAGCTATTCCACAGATGAGATTATCCATATTTTATGCCCGTTGGTGAATAAAACTAGAAGCAATCTGTAATAGTTCCGACACAATATAGGCACCCATGTCCTCCACGTGGCACGACCGTTTAGACTAGACTTGCCAACACACGTTTGCAGCGTTTGCGGCAACCGCGGGTACTTAATAGGCTGGTAGTTGGTACCTAATAGATAAATAATATGTTGGTAAAAAAAACGTTTGGTAAGGTTCAAAAGATCACATACGCCCAGACACCACGGCACTGGCTGATGACCATACAGTTTATTAGCAGCTTTTTGTACAAGTGCGGCGCTTACAGCCTTAGCATGGTATACATCGAACTCAAAGTACACGCCGCGCCTGTGGGCAGACGCTCGACCTCATTGTTCTTTCCTCCCGGTGACCTACTTCGCGACCAGTCTGGCGGGGACAGCCGGATACATCATACACAGCTGGTTTATTGTCACGAATTCCATGGTAGGCAATTCACCAACCACGCATTCCCTTCGAGATAGCCCAGGCGCCCTGAACACCTTACTTCCATACAAGCGAAAGACCACACACATAGTTCAGCGAACTGACTTGCTTAGCTTCGATTACATTTTCGCACGATTTCATTGGCATGTGTCTCTGCCCACGATCGCGAACCGCTCACCCAAATACGCAACCCCCGGTACGCCAGCGCGGGGTACGTCGAATTCCTTCCGAATGTATGCACCCAAAGAAGCACAACGAAGAAAGTTCATGATACTTTTGCGTGACCATGACACGCACAGTTCAAAAATGCGAGCGACAGCAACAAACAATCCGGTTTGATGAAGAGCCCTCACACAACCACTATGCGCACAATACAATCATCAAAAATAGCTCACGATTACTGATATACAAGGCTCACACTCCACTGGGTTCCTCCGCGCACACACAGCACGACGCAGAGCGGAGGGAGGCCACCGAGCCACCGGGAGCCATCACAACGCCACTAAGCAGGCTGCCGGCCCGACTCGGCATTAGTGTTCGTCTGGGTATCGGGAGCGGCGGAGGCTGGGGCGGGCGCGGGCACGGGGGCGGCGTCCGCGGGAATCGCGGGGCTCGTGGCCGCGGCAGCGGCGGCCGGCGCCGGGGAGCCGCGGAAGAAGCCCTCGGCGGTTGGACACTCGCGGATGGTGACCGTGCCGGAGTCGACGGTGACATCCGTGATGACGATGTGGTCCATGAGCGGGTTGACGCGCCGCCAGAACTCGGACGGCGGCAGCACCAGCTGGTCGTCGGCCGGCTCGGCGCGCCGCCGGCTCCGCTCGGCCGGCTCCGGCGGACGCGGCGGGATGATCTTGATCTTGGGCGACTTGGGCGGCGCGTCGCCCGCCTCGGTGGAGGCCCGGCGCGGCGACAGCTTGGCCAGCTTGGCCGGCGGCGAGCGCGCACCGGTGGTCGAGATGGTGACGCCGATTTTGCCAGCATCGTTGAGCAGCTCGGCGCGTCGTTTACCGGGCCGCTCGGGCTCCGGCTTCTCCTCGGGCTCGTCCTCCGGCTCCGGCTCGGCCGGCTCCTCGGCGTCGGCGCGCTCCGAAGCCGAGGCGCGGTCCTCGGAGTCGCGCAGCCGGCGCGGCCGCGGTCCCCGCCGGCTCGGCGTGGCGCCGTCGCGCTCCTTCTCCTTGCTCTGAAAGGCGTCGATCAGCCGCTTGTCGAGGATGTTCTCCTCCGGCTCCCAGGTGTTGTACTTGGGACTCCAGCCCCTCCACTTTACCAGGAACTCCACACGGCCCTTGCGGTAGCGGCGCTTCTGGATGCCCTCGGCAGCGTAAACGCCGCTCGGCAGACCTCCCATTTTGTCAGACATGATCTGGTTATTGTTATGGGTTACTCGCAGCTGTAACAAACAGCAGAGAAAAGGTTACAATTAGTGACCAACCATAGACCTTCTCTGCAGTGCTTTCCGCGATAACTAATTTTCGGAACTGCGATAAGCGATATCGATAAACGATAAAAAAAAAAATTAACAGCGATAGCGATAAAACGATAACGATAATTGTTTTTAACTGCGATAACGAGACGATAAACGATAAAACAATACCGATAATTGTTTTTTAACAGCGATAACGAAACGAGTAACGATAAAATGATAACGATAATTGTTTTTTAACAGCGATAACAAAAGCGATAAGAAATACAGCTAAAATAAGTGTACTTAAAGTTTATTTGCAGTATATACTCAATACTGGATCATACAAGTAAAGAAAAAGGACAAAAACACATTTTAGTCAATCTCAGCATCTGTCTCATGCTCTGTGTCAGTTTTGGCCTCCTTCTCCTCCCTCTTCAAGATAGCCTCCAGGAGGGCCATGTTGCCCTTGGTGAAGACCAAGAGCAGTAATTTGTTTAATGTAGTTTGAAATCTCCATAATTTAAATATTTTATGATAATTAGATCAGTGACGCAACGAGCATGTTCTTATTTCGAAAGTAGCCAAAGACGGAAACCTGAGCCAAGTTGGCGTAGTTTTTTATGCTGAGTTTGACTTTCTGGAGCAAGTTCATTTATATACTTGTTCACTCCCCCAGATATGCGGGAGTGGACCCCGCTGTGACTGACCTCTGCCCGGTCCGCCGCGCAAATTTATAACACCCGTCGACCGTCTGACAGATCTGTAGGTACTTGACAGATGGCAACAGGTTGCACACACATACTGTCGCGCAGCATACACTGTCGATCGTCTTCCATTTTCCATCATCCCGTTTTACATTTTATCGTTTATCGTTCATAATTTTTGTAACTTGCGATAAGTGGATGAGCGATAATTTTGAAAATTTAGCGATAAACGATAACGATAACCGATTTACTTAACAGCGATAATTATCGTTTATCGTTTATCGCTCATCCTATCGCATGCGGAAACCACTGCTTCTCTGCACACCTTGCGTACATACAGGCATGCCTAATGCCTATGGACCAATAAATAGTTGCAGGCCTAAATGGTCCGGCCGGATTTAAGAATAATCTGAGATACCTAGACATTGTCATGGAATTGCAATTTGCAGTCAGTGTGTACACTGTACATTGACCGTCGTACGTAGTGTGTGTGTGTGTGGGGGGGGGGGGGTTCGAACGGACCCCCTCTTCCCGGTTTTCGTGAATAACTCGCGCAAAAAGCGGCATATCGCCGCGAAATCTTCAGTACCTTCTAGTTCATCAATGTTATGAAATTTACGCCTACTCTGTAAATTTTATTACCCTGTCCTATATAACCTTTGACCTGTGACCTGTTCCTCGAGACCATGTCATGCGTGGTCCTCCGGTTCGAATTTAAGACCGAAAAAGGCTGAGAAGCCAGATTGCAAAGGATGGTAATCATGACAAGATCTCATTGGCATCGCGGGCACTCTGCCGGTACGCGGTCCAATGCGGATTTACCATGGTGAGGAATTCGCATGGTGCCAACTGCCATGCTGGCCCTTGTGGTAAGTAGTATCGTGCTGAACCGCTGTACTGGCGTATTATTGAAGTGACTGAAGAAAATGATGCACGGGAGATACAGGTCCGTCTATGCAGGTCCTGCCCTGCTCAGCTGATGCTAACAGTCAATGAATGGAGATCATGATCGAGATTCGAGAGCAACCAGCCTGTTGACGTCATATACCTAAACGGCTAAACGTGGTCAAGGCGTTCAACACGGTCCGTCCCACCCACCTAGACGGCTACTGAGAAAAGTAGAGGCTTACAACATCAGAGGCAAAATCTTCAGATAGATCGGTGCATACCTACTACCTAGAAGGGCGGAAGCAGCGAGTTACTGATGGAAGTAGGAAGTCAGGCTGGGTTTCTGTACTAAGCAGTGTTCCCCAGGGTTCAGTCCTTGCTCCATTAGGTCCACCACACCGTATGTGAATTACTCGCTGGGGCCACTGGTTACATGTGGGATAAAGATATTTGTAGATGACGGCAAACTCTACTGACCTATATGTTCATTGTTCTGTCTGACTCGGCAGTCGGCACCTCTACAGAAGGACCATAACATGACACTTCACGAGTTGACAAACAGGTTGCAGGTTGTTAACTCTTGGAAGGAGCAAGGTGCTCCACATCAGCCAGACTGGAAAACATCCGTACACTATGCCAGACGCCCGTGAGACCCTCATGCGCTGAAATTCGGCGCAAGCGACTCTGCGCTAATATTTCTGCATGATTTGCGCCGGAAGCTGGGTGACTATTTGCGCCAAAATTAACACTTATATAAAGCACTTGCGCACATATACCGACATTACCGACCGAGGCTATATCAACCAGACAGAGCGTTCCGGGGCCTTGGACGCTGTCCCATGTTTGAGCGTCCGAAATAGTTGATCTAATACCACAATACGCGTAGCGCACTGTATTGTTGTGCTGAGAAACAATGCGCGGGCTGAAAGTTCCGGAGCCACAAAAATCGGCGGAGCGGTGGGTTCGAGGCTGGCGAGCGGCAGCGAAGGCCGGGCAGCGGAACAGCACGTGCTCCAGGATATCAGCCTCTTCTCAGCACACGGCGCAGAGCGCCGCGGGGCACCGTTTGTCCGGGCACCGCTGGCACGCCGCGGAGGGAAGACGGCCGATTCAGTGCACGTACTGAAGCGAGCGGCCCCAGTCGCCAGCCCTCATCTGGTGCACCGAAACGACGGCCTCCCGGTCCTCTCCGGGGATGGGGAGCGGCAGCGTGCTCCCAAAGAGTGGCTTGAATAGTGACTCGGGCCAGTTGTCGCGCTATTGACGCGAGGCCGCACATTGAACCGCTCGGGTCAGCGAGCGGGCGTCCAAGGGCAGGGCGGCCGCTTATTTCGCCAGGTCGTCCGCGCGCTCATTCCCCTCGATCCCGCGGTGGGCAGGAACCCACTGCAGGATTAGGTACTGCACGACGCTTGGTGATATTCAACAAGGTCTTCCATACCTTTCTTCGCACTGAGGCTGGAGGCCTCACCTGGGCGGCCGCTCCTCCGCTGAGTAGACTCAGGGCGGCTCGCGAGTCGGAGCACGCGACGACCGCGGCGGGGCCGTCTCATCCGGAACCGTCTCCAGAGCGAGCGAATCTGCTGCTCAATTGACCAGCGTGCCGCAAAAAAAAAATGACCGCCATTCGCCGAAAAATTCAGCGGCCGCCATGCGCTGAATTCGGCGCATAGGTACAAAGTTACGCTGGACGTGCACTGAAATTTTTGGCACAATTTGGCCACTACGCCAGACATATTTGACATAGCATGTATTCTCCAGTCTGGCACATCAGCAGGGGCAACCAGCACCACATATAGCGGATGGCTGATACAACTGTCACAGAGTCAGAAGTTGAAAGAGACCTTGGCGCCCCCACAGACGTTCAGATCAACTGGCTGAAGCGGGCTGCTTTGGCTATAAGGAAGGGATCTTATGTGATGGTAGTGATGTGTCGGTCCTTCCACTTGCTTGACAGATCAGCTCTAAATTTGCTCAAGGCCCAGCTGGTCCAACCTAAGTTTGAGATCAGGAACATAGTCTAGGGTCCCTTCAACAGGGTGGAACTGGACTAGCAACTGGTTGATTGGGTGCGGAGCCATGCAACCAAGCTGGTTATGGATCTGTGCCACGTCCAGTACTGAGAATTTAACCCGCGAACCGACGGGGGGGGGACATCCGCCCCCCCCCCCTGAGGTTTTTCGAGATAGCGGGAAAACCGCGGAGCGTAGCGCCGTACGGCGTACGCACCGCGAAATTTGTTACGACTATTCTCTCATCAATTTTACACATGGCGTGCAAGTTCGAACCTCCTAACTTTTAAGGTCAGGTACCAGGTCACTTTGAATGACCCAACCTCAAATCACTTTTTTGCAACTTTGTCACCGTGCCAGAGCTACAGTAGATGTCGGAGGCCTTTGAAAGTCGCAGGACGTTATAAAGGTCATTAGTAGCTACAATTTGTATAGCTCGCAATTTTGATATCGATGACCTAAGGTCAGGTCAATTTCTCGACCTCCCATTAGGTATAAGTCAATGGAGGAAAATCAACTCCTTGTTTTTACCACTAAAACGGGTCGGAATGGCCCCATAAACCATACATGACTTCATATACGATCAACCTTCACTGCCTTGAGGTCTGTTTTGCTGTTGGGCAGCTGTAAGGTCATGTGACGTCATCAAAGGTCACCAAAGGTTTTTTGCCAATAACTCCGTACAGGAACAAGATACAGTCGCGCGGATGGTCTCATTGTGTTCAGCTCGTCAAGGCGCATCGAATGATATACATGATGACCTCGGCCCGTTTCATCGGTGATAGCAGCACGCTATCACACGTGTCAAATTGGGTTTCCATGGAAACATCTACAAACCATGGCGTCGTCAAACTGTGTGATGTCATCAAATATTGCTGCTAACATCTTCACGGCCGTGCGAATGTATCAAACGCATTCAACGAGACGGCAACTCTGTTCCAAACGTAGCTATGAAAAAGCTCACGAATTACACGAAACATCATGAGTGTGAGGTCATCACATTACGTCAGCTCGCGCAATTTGATAGTAGCGTGCTGCTATCACCGGTGAAACAGGGCCCTGGAGTTCATGTGACCTGAGGTCAACATTTGACCTTGACCTTTTGAGGTCAACATATATATCATTCAATGCGGATTGACGAGAGGATCACGATGATGCCCTTTGTTTTTTCCTTAGCTGCTCAGTAGAGGTCAGGTACTCCATCATCTGGTCACGGATCAATGATTCAAGAACTTTGCAAGGAACAGCAGTCAGTGTTACGGGTCTGTAGTTGGCCGGGTAGTGATTAGGACCCTTCTTCAAGATGGGGACTATGTCGTCCTTGCACCAGTCGGTGGATAGGGTGGCACTGGCCAGGGAGTGGCGGAAGAGCTGTGCCCAGTGTTCAGCCATAATGGTCGCCGTCTCACTCAGTATCCTTGGGTGCAATCCATCCGGTCCTGGAGAGCTGTCAGATTTAAGCTTCAGCAGCTTGTCTCTGACCACCCTTGGGCTAACGTCTATGGTGTCTAGCAAGGGACCCGTGAAGGCAGAAGGTGGTGTTGGCAGGGCCGGGTCTTCGGATGTGAAGATGCTGTGGAAATAGTGGTTCAGTAGGTTGGCCTTGTCATGACTCTCGCGATCCATGGATCCATCCTCTGCTTGCAGGTCCTCCACTCGCATTTTTTTAAAAGAAATTTTGACTGAATGGATGAATGGGTGTGCTATGGGCCCGGGTGCCTTGCTAAGCAGAGCTTGTTGCGAATGACACTTATCTTCTTACTTATCTTGATTTTGTGTATTCTTTTGTTTCTTAATAAACGTGATGATGATGATGATGATGACACCACAGACCCACCACCCCACCCCGCCTTGCCTGCGCCCGGCGATAATTTGGATCGAAAGTTTAACGTGCCGCGGATAGATGGCGACACGGTCCTCCCGGGTCTAGTGTGGCCCTGTCTCACCAGGACACCAGTTGCCAGCTGGCTTAATATAGGAACGCGGTTCAAACGGCGTGGAGCTTCTCGGCCGCGAACTCACTGCCGAGTTAGGAGACGGACGCCTTATCCACTGGGCCACGGGGAGGAGTGTGAAGTCGAGATCCCGTGTAGCGCCAGAAGCCCTTCACGTTTGTCCTCATGTCTGCCACCACGCCTCTCAAAGGTCGCCCGTAGGTTCCTGGTTAGACACAATGAAGTTTTACAACAAAAAAGGTAGAAGAATGACGAGTTGCGCAGACAAAAATGTGTCAGGTTAAGGTAGCGAAAATCAGCATTTAATTGATGGGACATTACTGAGAATTAACATGCAAGACACCACAAAGTCTATAGGATGTTGAGGTTACAACAAAAAATAAGCTAAATTTACCTTACCCCGAGTATTCACACAAAATTCCTTTATGTGCATCAATCACTGCACTCTACCACCAAGGCATGCGAGCGCGCGAGTGCACGATCTTTGGCGGCGTTTTACGGTTTAGTTTTGTCGACAATTTTGTAGATTGTAAATCGATCTTCCAT